AAATACTTTAAAAAGAAAATAAATGTATTTTTAAAAGGGAAAATATTTTTTTAAAATATTTAAAATATTTTTAGATATTTAAAAGGTTTTTAAAAATGCTTAAAAAGGTGTTTGCTCTTAGATTTTATACCATAACTAAGTAAATATTATTTTAACTGTTGTCCAAATTTTAAGTTATATTTTTTAGTCTCTAGTTAATATTCAAATTGGTTAGTTAATACATAAAATTCTCTAGAATTCTTCAGAATTCTCCTTAGAGCAGCTCTACTGTATCTATGCGTTGGCTTCGTGTGTGGCAGCTGCGATCCGACCTCAGACAGTGACTACAACTTCCCTCCAACCCCTCCTTTTGGCTGTGGCACTTTAGCTCGATATTTATGCAACGGCACACACTTCATGCCCCTACCCGGCCACCTGTCCCCCTGCCTCCCCTCTGCCGCCTCTACTCACCTTTCTCAGCTGCAATTTAAGCGCACATTTTTCTTGGCAACACACACACACATATTCCCTCTTGCCGCATTAGGAGTAGTTTTTCCAGGTTGCCATCGCTCTCCCACTCTCTCCCATTGTGTGCAACACTTGGCGCTTGCCACATAACGACAACGGCAACAGAAGTTGCAAGTTGCAACTGCAACATATGCAACAGCAGCAGCAGCAACTGCATCGTAGCATGACACATTAAATGCAAAACGGCAGCAAGGTGCAAAAAGGGCAAGGGAGGAGTTGCTGCCCAAAGGCGGGTTCTCAGAGGGTTAAGGGGTTACCGGAGGAGAAGAAGGTGGGCTCTTGGGCAGCGGTTCCACTCCTGTGGCTCTTTATTTAATAAAGAAATGGCTTGAACATTTTTTAAGTTGCGCCATAACCAGATGATCCTGGTATGTGAGGGTATTCTGGGGCGTGAGGGATATATAGGAAAGAGATAGTGAAGATATGTGTTAGATATATAAATCAGAAGATTCTTACTTCTACATTCTTACTTTCAAATTAATATTTTAAAATTTAACTTTAAATTCTCTACTCTTTTTTCATAAAAATAGGGTATCACCCTTGTCGATCATGTATCTCCTTGTGTCCCCTTTTCACCCTTATCCATTTTACGCATAATAAACCGCTCTTGCTGTTCCTGTTGCTGTTTTCATATCCTTCTAACTGGCTACGAACCTGAGAAGCAGCTGTTGCCACTTGGCTGCATTCCTCTTAACCCCCTGTTGCCATATGTGCCTCAGCTATGACACACCAATTTAAGGGACCAGCTGTGACAAGATGGAGAGAGCTCAAGGAGACAGGTGAAGATGGTAAAGATGCCAGAATTAAGGTATTAGTTTTGCCAAAAGAGCTGGCCATCAATCAGCTGTTGTGGGGGAATTATGCAAACATATTGCATAAAAATCATTAAATGGCATTAAATAATAACACCACCTTGGGCCATTGGACATTTCAGCATCGAAAACACTTTAAATAATTGCACATTATGCCCGGGAGAGAGACTTTAATAAAATAATTAAAATGAAATATGCGGAGCTCGCGCTGCTTGGGAAATACAATTCTTCGGCACTTTAGAAAATTGCTAAAAAAAAATAAAGAAAAGAAAAAAAAGGAAAGGGAGAATGAGAAGACTGAGACAAGAATTCTGCGGGCTACCAATCTACGCATTTTTTAACCCCACCTTGCCCCCGCTCGCTAATTCGAACGTCAAAGAAAGACCGACAAAGGCAGGCGCGTTAAACTGTGTTTTCATTTTATAAAAATTCGTTGTTGAAAAGCATAAAAGTTCAACGGAAAATATTAATTTCAATTATTTAGCTACGCGCCAAGCTCCGATTTAACGTTTTTTCCCACCACTGAAAACCTGAGAAAAAATTTTATATAAAAAGGAAGAAAGAAGGGGAGCCCGGCACTTTGTTCGCTAAATGCGAGCAATTTGTTACAGGATTTTCATCGGTTCTGTGGGAAAATCTTCTTTTTTGCAGTCGAGGGAAAAACGAAGGCAATTTATAATTATCAACTGTAGGTGGCGCATTGGTAGAGCTTGGGGCTCCAAAGCGGAAGTTATTACAGGAAAAACTGCAGTTATTTTCCAAAGAACTTGACATTGGCAGGCGGCTTCTTCTTGTTCGTCTTCTGACGTTCTTCGGCAGCTTTGTCTTTCATTTCTGCATTTACCACCTATTCTTTAGCTTCTTGTGCTTCTATTTTCTTTGGTTTCACCTGTAATTAAAGACGACACTTTGGCATGTTTTGTATGGCACGGAAATGCTTGATGAAAGACCAGTTAAGTGTGTAAAAGAACTCAAATTGTCAAGTACCAAGAACTAAATGATCGGGCAGCTGGGAAATTGATAGAGCTCGTCACGAGAATGATGAGGAAATTGATTAAATTGAATTTATATATGTATATAAGAAATCAATTCCCCACCTAATTAAATTAAAATTAAATCACCATAAAGAATTCCTCTTGAAATTACCTTTCCACACAATCTCTTATCAGGTTATTTTTGTTATTTTTTTGGTTCAATCTAAAATTGGCAACACTCATTATATGAATACCGTATCAACAACCTTTCACACAGACTCTCACTCAACCGCCCGTTGATTTTTTGGAGACCCCCTGAAAATTACAATTAAATCCAACTGCCAGAACCCCAAACTCCTGGCGATCAGTTCGCAGCGGGCGCTAATGTGAAATAAAATTAAAGATCTGGGAAAGAGAGGCAACACATTCATACATAATAACAGTAAATTATGAAATCTTATTTAGAACTGTGTTATTTAATTGCTGAAAACCGAAACACAAGATAATGAAAAATTACACACAAAATATGGCAAAAGCTCTCGAACCTTAACCCCGCCAAACTTGATTCGATTAATGCTCGATAAGCAACGAGTTTTAGTCGAATATTCAAATGTATCCATAAATACCAGGCAGCGTCCGTCGCTCATGTTACACTTGCCGGGGCTGAAGATTAATCGCTTGACATCACACTCCGCTACAAAAATGCGAGACCCCAAAAATATCTTACCTAATTTGATTAATTACGTATCGCGGGAACAAACAATAAACTCTTTTTCTTTCGTGAAGATTTGTCCGATAAATAATTACAATTATTAGTCCGGGGGTTGAGTCTGGTGGGATGGTAGCTGAATTCAATGGGAAATATATGTAATTGGGTGATATAATACAGGTGCGTTGATGGCTTTCGAAGTTCCGTCATCGAATGACGTCGTTTAGAGGGGTCTGACTCAGTCTAGAGGGATATAGTAAGTTGGCGACGATATGGCTCATTGAGCAAACAGTTCGATGAGTAAATATTCACATTTTTGCCAACAGTCGTGTGAAAACTGAGCAGCGATCAAGAAGGGGTATGTCTTTGACTAAGAAATAATATCGTTATATATTGGTATGTAATATAAAATATATTGTGAATTTGTTGGCAAAAAATCTCATGACGAATTCTTTCAACCTTCAAAAAAGCAATCTGCCTTTTCTTTTTCATTTATTTTTTTATTATCTTACCAAGGTCAAAGTTCTCTTCTTTAGGCCCTTGACTTTACATTTTGCAATTTTTCACGCACTTCTTCGCTGTTTATTTTTTACCATAACCATTTTTTTTATATTTTTCTGCGTTGTATTTTTTATTTCGGCACATGCAAACATGATTTTTTGTTGCCTTTCTTTTCATTAAACAATTCTTCAGTATTATTTGTTTTTGTTTTTTTATTTTTCGCTACTCCCCTCTTATTTTTTTGCAAACTTTACATTTGCTAAAGTTCATTAACATCTCAGGCGTGTGTGTGGGGCCCAAAGCAAAAAAAGAGAGAAAAAAACCACGCAGCGTTTTCCATTTTAATTAAATTTAGCCTCGTTTTTTTTCTATTTTTTTAGTTCAATTAATTATGCAAATTGTTACATGACCATAGAAGAATTTCTTTCCTATTCTGACAAATTCAATTTCGATTAGAAATTAAACGCTGATTTTTAGAAACTCTTCTTCCACTCATAAACCATAAATTAACCAAATAGAAATTAGCCATCGAAACTCCCCCGAGTGACCTCAAAAAACTAATAAAAAACGTAAGAAAAGAGGTAGCAGAATTTAGTTAAATTTTTTGCATAAAGGTTTTTGTCAACTCTCCGCTTGAGGGAGTAGCCGGACCATTCTTTCTCCTGCTTTCGCTTTTTTAAGGGGGAAACCTCTTTGTTTTGTTTTCATTTTCTAGTTTTGTTTTCTTTAGCATATAATTTGTTTGCCTAAATCTTTGGACCGACCTTCTCTTTCCTTTCGTTTAGTTTTTTTGTGTGCGATTTTTGTAGAAACGTTTTTGTGTCAACCACAAGAGTTAAACGAATTTTTCTTCTTGTTATTGTTGCGGTTTTTAATTGCTGGGATAGTCGGTGGCATCGCATCCGTAAGATTCGCTTTTGTTTCGCTCTCGTCTCCGGTTATCGCATAATGACAACTATTTGGGGGCTTGCTGGGAGCGAAAGTTCGGATGGATGGATGGATAATTATTTGGGGTTTTGTAACAGAGAGGAAAGCTCTCCCCCGAAAACTAATTGACCATTATTTAAATGATTTTTTGTTGGTGTTTCGTAGTGAAAATTGTTTTTTGAATATAGATTTTTAATACATATTATATATATCTTTCTTTTCTTTTTCTCTCTATTTTTGTGGTGTTATCTTGTGATTATCCAACAGCTTGTTACTCCAATTCCTATTACATATAATCAGATTATGTTTACCTTTTCCTAAAGCCAAGTTTTAAAGTCTTATTGTGCCTAACATGTGTTTTTCCGTAATTTTCTTGGATTAATATATTAAATCTAAAACTAAAATATATATTATATATATTTAAAATATATTATAAATTATATGAATCCCTTGAATCCCTTAAAAACTTCCCAATATCCCTTGTTATGTTTCCCTTTGTGAATCCCTGTGTTTTCCGTTTGACTAACCGTATCCTTTTCCTTTCTCTTGTCTCTCCTCCAACCCTTACAGATCTTGGAACCCTTAGTAGCCACCACAGCAGCATTGGCAACCTCAGTGCCAACAGCAGCAGCATCCCATCAGTAACCTTGATCACCAGCAGCAGCAGCAGCAGCGGCAAGAAGACATCCTCCGAGCTGGTAACACCCACCAAGCCGCCGGCTGCATCTGTAAATCCCAGCAAAATGGAGCTGCTGAGCAGCAACATCAGCAGCAGCACAGTTACAGGAATCACAACGACGACAGCCACACATCACCTGCACCAGGCGACGACCACAAAGCAATTGCTGGTGCAGGATTACCTGAGCTACGCCTCGCCACCGACCTATTCTCGCCTGCCGCCCGACGGCCATGAGTTTCCGCCCAACTTTAGCGAGCCCCTGATCATGCACAGCAGCCATCCCCTGAAGGTGACCAGCACTGAACTGGGCTATGAGATCCAGAATGGCAAAGATGAAAGCTCCTCTGCGGCACCGCCACTGCCCAAAACAGGGCCGCCGCCCACAGTTCCCCGGAAGGTGTACCGTCAGGATTTGGTGATAAATGTGGAGCCAGCTCCTAGCTTGACCCGCGACTACCAGAGATCCCTGAGTGGCGGGGCACCGAGGAAGCCTAGTGATTGGCGGAAGGATGAGAAGTCGGAGAAGTCGGTGCGGGACAAGATCGCCATGTTCTCGTCCAACAACGAGCTGGATGCCATACCACCGGCTCCGGCCACAGCCCCTATAAGCAACTCCTCTTCCTCCTCCTTCTCCCGAAAGCCGATGAACCGCAGCAGTGAGAATCTGCTGGACAGCTGCTCATCCCCGGCAGCTCCGTCGCTCAAGACCCGCGCCATGAGCGTGGAGAATCTGAACGATGTCCAGCGACAATATCAGTTGGCCAAGCAGCTGCCTCAGTTGCATGTGGCCGACTCTATGTATTCCCTGAATACGGCCTCGTCCCCGGTTTCACAGAGCTACGCCTCCCTGCCCAGGAGGAGTCACGGCGGATCCTATTCCGCGGGCGTAGAGCGAAGGATCAGCTTTTCCGGCGAAGGTGGTGAGGCGGCCAATCGCAAGGCGGCCATAACCAATATCCTAGAGCAGCGAAGAAGGAGTCTATCCAAGCTACGGGGTCTGGTCATACCCGAGAGACCCCAGTTGCTGGAGCCCATTCTTGACTTACCCGAGATCAAAAGCCAGGTGAAGGCGGCCAGTGGCGAGGATAGCACGGACAGTGGTCTGGGAGAGAGCCATCGCAGCACCACAACCGCCAGGAGCAGCCAACTAGGAGCTGGTAATGTGTCCGGCAGCAGCTACCGCAGCATCTTTTCCAATCAGAGGAGACCTGCCCTGGAGCAGCAGCTCTCCCAGCCGCCGGCCAAGCCGCCAAGGACCTCCCTGACGCCGCTCCACCCGAGGACCATGATGATGCCGCCACCACCGCCGCCTCTGGATCAGGAAAGCGATACGGACTCTGTGTTCTCCAACACAGCCCGTGTGGCCACGCCGCCGGAGAAGTTTGCCCTGACCCGAACCCTTAGCTCCGAGACGAACACTTCAATAGCCAGCTCCAACACCTCGACCCTGACGTCGGGCTCCTCGGCTGGTTCCCAGGCCAGCTGCAGTTCGCTGGGCAGTACCCCGGCCGTGGACCTGACCAGGCGAGTGCTTAAGAGTCAGGTGAGCGGCAATGGCGGTGACTCCGTGGTGCTCTCCAGCCGGAAGAGCATACTGGCCTCGGCCAAGTGTCGCAGTGCCAAGAGCCGGGGACAGGAGGAGGACAACGACAGCACCGATGGTGAGGCCTGCTCTTTGGCCAACCGCCGAATGAAGCCCATTTCCAGCTACAAACTGCAGCAGCAGCAGATCCAAATGGGCAAGCAGCAACTGGTGGTCGATAAGCTGATCAATGTGGCTGCCTACGTGGAGCTGACCTCGGATACGGACGACAGCAGCCGGCGATCCGATACGCCGGCTAAGATCAGTGCCATGTTCATCGATGAGGAGCGCAAGGCCAGCTTCAAGGGTGATCCCGTCCAGCAGCAGCAGGCCAAGGTCAAGGTGGAGCCAATGGTCAAGCCGCTGGTACCCATGGCACTGCCCTCTCCAAAGCGGGAACCCCTGAAGCAGCAGACCACCGCCGAGCTGCGCGAGAAGTTCGAGCGAAGTGCGGCCCAAGCTCAGGCTCAGAGCCAAAACCACTCGCCAGTGATCCATAAGATAGCTCCGAAGCCGCATCATGAGCGCTTCTCGTCGCTGGACTCCCTGGCCTCCAGTTCCTCGGGCGTGAGCTCCACCACTCAAAATGTGAGCACCACCCAGGAAACGGCCACCGAGTTCGGTAGCTTCTCCTCTTTGGGCAGCAACCAGAGCCTGATCACCGCCCAGGATGTCCAGCAGATTGTGGAGGAGGCCGATCCGCCCCTGAAGACCCCTGAGGCGTTCATCATTGTCCTGCAGCGGGATAATCCGGAGAGCAGCATTGGCATTACTCTGGCCGGAGGTTCCGATTATGAGGCTAAGGAAATCACGGTGAGTTGTGGGATTTAAGATCTTGAGTTACCTTTATTTATTTCTTGTAATTCTATTACAGATCCACAAGATCCTGAGCAACACTCCAGCGGCCAAGGATGGCCGTCTCAAGAAGGGCGATCGCATCCTGGCCGTCAACGGAATGAGCATGCGGGGATTGACGCATCGCGAGTCCATCAGTGTGCTAAAGGTAAATTTCAAAACCCAATTATAACTCAACTTAAAGATTAATTTAAAAAATCTCTCCCTTGTCTAGACCCCCCGACCCGAGGTGGTGCTGGTGGTTACCCGCTCCGAGTCCCTGGTGGTAAAGTCTCTTACCAAAAAACGCTCTTCCCTCGGTTCGCTCAGCTCGCTCAATGAGAAGCCCACGGAGCTGGATTATGAGCGCAAGAGGAACTATCACAAGGCCTCCCGATCTCTGGACTTGGACCTGGACATAGTGTCCAATGAGGCGGGCGGTTCGCCAGTGGCCACCACACCCAGCACTGGATCAGTGAGTCCACAGCAGCCGGCTAGCTTGCACGACGAGGATGCGGAGGCCACCATTGCGGGAATCCGAGCCAGAAGGCAGTTGTCCCGCGGCGATGCCGCCAAGCTGAGCACAAGTGAGCTGCTGGAACGAGCGGCGGAGGCAAGGAATGCCATTGCGGCGGAGATTCGGGCACAAGGTAAGTTGAAATGAAGGATAATATATATAGATAAAATGATGGCGGATAAATTCCTCGATAATTTAAACCGCATAAAATTATGGCTTATGAAATTCATTTCAATTCTGTCCAAAAGTATGCTATAAATTTTTACAATTATAATACAAAATTTGATGGCTTATAAACTTTGAATAAATATTTTAAATTATTTAAAAATAAATATTTATATATATGATTTAAGATTTACCTTGAAAGTTCTAAAAATAATATCCCCTTTTCTTCTTCAGCGGAGGATGCGGCGGCCAATGGAGCTGGAGCGCGTTGTGTGGAGATTGTCAAGGACAGCTGTGGTCTGGGCTTCTCCATTGAGGGAGGCTTTGATTCGCCCTTGGGAAATCGTCCCCTTATTATCAAAAAGGTGTTCATGGGTAAGCGAGTCATTTGTCATGCTGTCTCCCCCCGAAGAAATTAATTAATGCTTTTGCTTCTATAACCAGGTGGCGCCGCCCAGAAGACCAACCAGGTGCGTAATGGCGACGAAATCCTGAGCATCAACGGTGCCTCGACAGCGCGAATGACGCGCGTGGATGCCTGGAACTACATGAAGCAATTGCCGCTGGGACCGGTCAAGATTAGCTTCGCCTAGAAGAGATTTGGTCGTAAATTATAAAAAAAAGAAGAAATAATGCCAACGAAGAAGGGGAAGAATGCGCCACAATTTTTGTTAGATTTAAGCTAATTAGTTTGGTTACCCCGCAATCGGTCTAACCTTGTTGGGGGTCTTGCCAATCCGATGGAATGGATGCTGCGAGCGATTTGTTTTTTGCATTTAAACGAAACCCTTAATTGTATGCCTAATTTTATGAGATATTTTAATTTAAAGTGCAATTGTTTAAACTTTTACAACGTTTTGATGCCCTATATAACAGATCGATGATTGTAAATATAACTAATCGACACTAATTTACGTATTTAAACATAAAAAATTTAATTAAAGCCGGTCCTTTGTGGCAGCGCCTATTTCCTTATACAAAACTTATTAATCCACAAAATACATAACGAAAAAAAAAAAAAACGAAACAATTATATTTTATGCCATAAATTATACGGGAACGTTATACATGTATATTATTTTAAAAATTTATTATATTATTTAAAGACCAACAAAAACAATAATTACGTATACAAAAGTATTTGCTAAAATAAACAATATGAACTTATATCACTGAAATCTGGAAAAGATGTTTTCAATTTAAATAACAAAATTTGTCAGGTTTGTATTTGCGGTATTTATTCAGAACAACTTCATTTTATGACATTTTGTTTATTAACTTAGTAACAAGTTATCAGCTATTAGCTAATTTATTAGCTATCACATTTTTATTAATATTAGCATTTGTTATTAAAATTATTATTATTTTTGTACTGAGCATAAGTTCAAAAAACGGTCGACTTTATGAATGTTCCTGTGGCTAGGGCTCCAGCTTTACAGGCGAGGAGGAAACCGATACGATTTCATTGGCCACTTGCGAGCGGACGTATGATGTGGCCATCTCGGGGGCGAATATCTCACCCAGCAAATCGTAAACGCGACGCTTGAAATGCAGCTTCTGATTAAAGTTCATTCGCTCGATTTCGGGAAGCAGACCTTGCAGGAATGCTGCATCAAAATTTGGCTATAGATAAAGAAATATTAATAATTATTAAAATCGTTTTTATGTGTATGTGAAATGGTTCTACAAAATATTTTAAGATTTATATATATTTAAGATATAGTAAGCTCTCACCTGGACATTCTCTTTGTTGTTCTTGGACAAAGGCAATCTCTTCCCAGCCATGCAATTTTCAGAATCCTCCTCGGAAGAAGTGTCGGCATCTTCGGGTCCGTTTGTGTTGCGACTCTGCGCATGCCTTAATAAAGGCTTCTGGTTCTCATCAGTTTGGTCCTGCTGTTCCTCCTGACTACTGACCCTAGTCCGTCGACCTTTTGGAGGAACGGGAACACCGGGTGTTATGTAATTCCGAAGAAACTGCAACTCTTTGTTCAGATAGTATGTAGATGCTCCGGAAGGCTTTCTAATGGAACGAGCATAGCTGGTGCGCAGATTGCACCAGCGTTGCTGACAGGTTTTAGCTGAAGATAAAAATAATAATAGAAAATTAATGAATTAATTAATAAAAATGAATAAAATTATAAAATAAGCCTAAACAGCAATAAAGCATAGAATGAGTATTTATGTGTACTTATAATTTTTAACTGTTTAAAATGTCGTTTAAAAATTTAAGGATATGGGGTACATTTTTTAAAAATATAGTCTATAAATCCTAACTTACCCCTCATGTTCATTTGCTTTCCAATCTTTTCCCACACATTTTGCACAACCGTAGCCTTTAAATAATTGGCGTCTAATCGGTCATAAAGGCACGGATATTGAGAAACCAAACGACAGATATTTGCGTTGGCGGTGAATGCTTTCGGCGGTTGGGCATAACTTTTGGTTTTTTTGCGCGTATTCATTTTATTGATATGAAGAATAAACTAAAATAAATAAATGTTCAAGTTATTATATTTTTGTAAAATTTGTATTTCCTGCATTTATAAAAAAATTAAATTTTGATCGAATTTAATTTAAAATCATTTAAGTTTAATTAAACTCCAAAATATTCACTAAAGATTAATTAAAACAAAATTTTTTTTTTCATTTTATTATTATTATATTATACAGGCGATGCTGTGCTAGACGTCCAAAACGACTCCGAAACACATGTCGCCTGTGCCGCCGACAGCTGTTTGGCGCATCAAGGCGTCGCGCTGCAACAGTTATTTTACGGCTACGCTCTAATATTTACCTGAATTCAGTTAATAATAGTTATATTTAATTTGTGACACTGTTTCTACGAAGTAATTTGCAATTAACTACCGTTCAGTTGCTGCGGTAGTTAGCTATTTGCAATTCAGTTGATTATTTTGCTCCGGAATACAAATATTATATTGCTGCTGCAATATTTTTGTGACAATGCGATAGAAATGTCAGTCGCCAAAGGGACACTAGATAGCTTAGCTTTCATTTAAACAGCTGTTACGAGAAACAAAACAATTTTGCCGGCAAAATAAAAGACTTTTAATTCGGACAAGTACAGAGGCGTGGTGAGTGGACGCGAAATAACAACAGGGTTTGTGTTTACGTTCGGCATGCAACCCCCAAAGAGAGCGAGAGTTCATGCCACGCCACTGGCACACACACAAACATAAGCTGCTTTCAAAGAGAGCGACAGCGCTGCCAGACTCAAATCTAAGCAAATGTTGCATTTTTTAGGCTGGCAAGGTGGTTCGATCAGTGAAGAAACTACTAACGTTTTGCCAGCCCTATAAATTAAAAAAAAAAAATTTAATTAGCTGACAAAATACAATAAAAAATTTTCGGTAATAGAATTGAAAATAAAAAATAAATTAAAAATTAATAATTAGCTCTTTTTAAAAGGATAAAGATTTTGATAAACAATAAAAATAAGTAAATCTGTCATTAAAAAATTAAAATAATCCAATGTTTTTGTAAAAAAAATTGCACTAGCTTTTTATAAAATGAAAAAACTGAGTAGTAATGGTGTTTATGTATAAAAATCGTGTGCCCAACCTGTGAAGCTAAAATTAGTGAGCTGTTCCTGACCTTCCCTGGTATTTTGTTTTTTGCAACCCTCGTATCGACTCGTCGACTGGCCTGCAACCGTGCGCTCTTTCACTCCCTGGCTCTCTCTTGTGTGTGTGTGTGTGTTAGCTCGCGTTTGGCAGTGTTTGCTGCCATTCGGTGTTTTGTTTCGGCTGCTGCGCGCGTGTTGTTGCGATTTTACGTTGCGTTTGTGCTAGTGATTGCAGCTCGATTCTAGCCAGTTTCTGTCGATTGAAACGCAAGGACGGTGAACAGTGATGAGCGGTGCGACCAAGGAAAACAGGCAGCTGCTGCAGGCGGTGGTGAAGCACCCCGTGCTGTACGATCGCAACGACGAAAACTACAGGAAGCGCTTGCCCAGCGAGAATTCCTGGGACTTGGTAGCCTCGGAGGTTGGAGGGTCGGGTGAGTAAGCGAGATGGGGCGACGGTGTTGCGTAGCAATGGGGGCAGTGTTGTGCAGCGGCAAAACGTGCACACTTATCGGCCGTTATCGGTTTTCGCATACCGATGGAGCGCGCGAGTTGGCAGCTCCGCCGCTCTTTATGAGTGTCTGTGATGGCAAACATAAGCAGCTGCCATCGATTAATTCGAAAATAGCGAATCTCCTGTTGAATGCGGTTGCCCTTTGGCTTATAACTCACAAATGCAAACCGGCCATATATTGGGGACAAGCTGTAGTGTTTGGGGAAGGTAATTAGGAGTCATTTAATATTGTTAATTGACAGTAATTGACACCTTTAAAGCACGCTCTATTTACCAATAATTATTATTGGATTATTAAAAGGAAATAAATAATTTATGTTTAGCTAGAAATATTATATTAATTGATTTAAAGACTGAAAGCTTGAAAACCGATTAGAGGTATAAAAAAAATGAATAATATTCAATAAAACACATAATTTTAAATTTACATTATTTGCAACAAATATTATTGAACTCAAACAAATAAATATATAAAAAAACCTTTTAAAATATTTACTGGGTACGTAAATTTAATATTAAAAACAACTGATAGTTACGAAATGCCAAATTTACAGAATTATATTTGTATTGTGTTTTAAAATTGTAAATATTCAATATTTAAATATAAAATTTTTATATAAATTTGACATTAACAATTTTGTACATTTTATTTTATATTCAGTTATTTTAAATTTAGTTGACATAAAAAATTACCTGTATTATACCCTTTCAGTCGAAAGTTTGCAATGCAATGAATGAGTGATTTTCGATATATTTGATTAGTTTAAAAAGCAGTATAAAATTAATACATTTAAAATTTATTTTTCTGCTTTGTCAATAAAAAAAAGACTATTAAAAAAGTTGTTCAATGTAAATTAACTGAATTTTTAATTTCCAATTCGGTCCCATGAGCCAACAAAAAACTTTAAGCTTTTTAATCTTGGACTGGCCGAAGTTAGCATCCTTTTTAATTTTTAAATTAATTTGCTTTATTATATTTGCTTTAATAGTTTTAATACGTTGATGATTTTTATTCACTCTTGTTCATACACAAATTTAAATTACTTATACTCTTATTTATTTTTCAATCAAAAAAAGTTTTTTTGTAGTCATCACGTTATACAAATTTATATTTCATAATATTTTTAATATTTATATTTAGTTATATATACATTTATAGTATAACTTTATGCTAACTCTGAGCCACTTAAGCCGTTATTTGCAGCAAGGGATGAACAAACGTGTATGTTTATCGATGCTAGTGCTGATATTTAGTGATGATGCAGAAACTGCTTTTATTGTAGATGTGTAGACATCGATAGTATTGCCATTGAAGATCTGACAGCTCTATTATTTTAATTTAAAAAAGTTAGTTTAATAATACAAAACGGTTAAAGCGTTAATTTACTAAAATCTATAACCACCAAATAGAATAAGTCAAACCTCTGAAAACAATATTACCAGAAGCACCATTTGTTTTATGGTCTCCTATCGATATATTTATTTAAAACCATGCAAATGCAACTCTGTCAACGTGTCATCGGTGATCCCTCCCTGGAATATTTCTTTTCCTTTTTCCTGTCGTCCAACGAAGTCACGTTTTTTAGTTCTGTCAAAAATATTTAACTGTGAGTCTTCTAACTGTGAGTGTTATTTTTGTTTAAGTTATAAAGAAATGCGAGTGAGAAGCATCTTTATTGACAAATGTGATTTTAACCTTTGTCTGTGATTGAAATTTTTGGCAGTTCTCTGATGTAAAACAATAAATAGAAAAATTCCTGAAAATACTGAAAATAACTGTGCCATCAAACTAATTTGTAGTTACTTTGGTTTGCGTAGTCCTTCACTGATTTAGTTTGATGTCAGAATGTTGTCTGTGCAATTTATTTGTCATATTTCCATTTGTGATCTTCTGACATTTACATAATGTACATGCATATGGATGTATGTATGTATGTATATACATATGTACTTAAGTGTTGGTTAGACATTTTTGCTCAGTATATTTTTTTAACTTCATGTTATCGATGGATCCTGGAGCTAGTATATTTTTGGAATTTTTGCTGCAAGATGTTAATAATAATTTTTATTATTATTTTAAATTATTAATTGTTATTAAAACCAGGTTCTGTTGTTATTTATTTATTTTTGTTTCTTAAGAAAAAATCTTAAAAATACCTTAATTTAATTATTTATTATTATTAAAACCAGGTTCGGTTTTTATTTATTTATTTATTTTTTTCTTAACAAAAAATCTCTAAAATACCTTAGTAAAAAAATATATATATTCTTCAATTTCTAATTTTAAGTTTTGTCCGCACTTTGAATGTTTTCTCTAAAATGTTTTGTTGTGTTGCGTTTTTTTATGAGAGTATACTAGTTTTTCTCTACGACGGTGTTAAAGTATTAAAATAAGTTTTAGTTCAAATTTAGTTTTTTACCATTCAGGCCAAAAATAAAAAAGGGAAATATTTAAATAATTATAAATTAATTAATTATTTATAATTATAAATATTTAATAATTAAATAATTCATTAAGAAATCCATATAAATTAATCCTATTGTGCAAACTATTTTAATTAAAATAATTAATTAAATTAAATTTGTGGTTTTAAATTATGTGAAGATAGACATCGTTTGCAGATACAAACATCTAATTGAAAATAAAATAAAAATGAATTTTCTGTTTAAGAAATATAGAATTGGAACTTAGGTACGTAGCTTTTTGAAATCACTGCTGATTGTCAAGCCTTGTCCCTTGCAGGTCACAAATAAGATCAAGAATTTGGGATTTAAGATGCTTGCCTGGGATTTTTGGTAACTTTTCCAGCCCAATCAGGGGGTGAAAAATGACAGCTGCGGTGCATTAATTGCTACCTGATGCAGCAGGATTTAATTTAATTTTTTACCTGTCTCCTCTAACTATTTCCCTCCTTCGTTCCGTTGCAGTGGAAAAGTGCAAGCGACGCTGGCGTCAGTTGCGAAACGATTACACCCGTTGGTTGAACGCAGACGCTAGCCGGCGACGACTCGGACAGCGCCGCTTCCCCTATTCCTTGGCGGACGATTTCAGCTTTTTGGACCCCCACCTGAACTTGGCCGACGAGGAACGCAGCGGATCAGAGAGGGATAGGGACAGCAACAGGGACAGCGAGAGCAGGGACAATACAACCGCTTCCCTAAAAGGAGACGCCGCACGGGACGATAAGTCAGTCAATGAAGAATCGTTGGTGGCTCAACTTCTCGGGGAAGAGGATCCTTCAACTAAGGACTCGGAAAACGATAAACCTAAGGAAAAACCAAAGCAGGAAAAGCCCATCAAAAAGAGCGCTCAGGAAAAATCCGTAGAAAAGGAGCTGGATGAAGTGGAGGAACCGCAGAAAAGTCTCGAAGAGGATAGTTTTCTGCAGTCCGACCAGGAAGGTGACGAGCCCATAGAAGAGGAGCATCTAGAGCAGCTGGATGACTTTGAATTCGGAGAAGAAGAAGAACTGATGCAGGAGAAGGAAAAGGATTCATCGGAGAATACCGAAGATTCACCGGCTAGCCAGTCCGAGTTTTTTATCAAACAAAACAAGGAGCCTCATTTGCTGATTATTGGCAAAAAGAACTCCACGCTCTCAAGTGGTGAAGCTCCGGAGGCGGAAGCTGATGATTTAAATCAGGGGGATCCCCTGGAAGACAGTATGGAAGAGAGCATTGACGAAACCGCCGCAAAAACCTTAAGCAGAAGAGACAGTGCGCAGTCTCCCAGTCGTCGCCTTCGCCGGATCAAGACCGTTCCCCTCAAGAAGCCCACTCAAGTGCCGAGGGTCACGCGCTTTCAGCGCACAAAGGTCATGACTATGGCTGCAGCGCAGAGTATGAGGAGCTCTACATCGCCCGTTAAGTTGACACCAGTGCCCAGACCAGGGGGCACTAAGAGTGTTCAGGTGAAACCCTCATCAGTGCCTCTCAAAGATGGCTTGTTCTCCCGACCTGAAATGCCTTCAGGTGAAGGAAAACAAGGTGCCAACAGGCAGGGTTTGACTCCAAGCCAGTCGCAAAGGCCACCGGTAATGAGACGTCTTACCACTACCGGCAGCAGCCGTCCGGGCATGATAACGTCCGGGCATGATACTCCGCCAAAAAGAGGCAGGCCGCCCAAGGTGATGCACCGTTTGGTGGGCCGACCAATTAGAAAGCCGTCACCGAGTACCCCCAAAGTGTTGCCCATCAATAAGCCCAGCAGTCCCACCGTCACTCCTGGCACCAACATGGCCCATAAGGCCAGTAATCCCGCCACCAACACACCAGGAAATCTAACCAAAAGGGTGCCCAACCCCACAGCCACCACCGCCACCATTGTTAAACCGCTGGAGAACTTAAGTGTAAGGAACTACAGTCCCATCTCCAGCACTGATTCTAGCCCCGGCATCTCAAAGAGTAGCCTCTCTGGTGTGGCCACCACCAGCACCAACGTAGCTTCAACAAATTCGGTGGCAACCAAGACACCCAGCCTGCTCAAGCGATGCGAACGGACAACCCAAACCGATAGCCCGGATATCTTCTCCGATGAGCATTTCCTGGATATGATAAAGCCACAGATGAAGGAGATGAACCCTCGCCAGAAGATGCATTTCAAGAAGAAGGTTTTCCAGGCGTTGATGGAGACTTTCGACGATGCCACCGATTTCCCAGAGGCCGGCGAACTGCAGCACTTCAATATAAACACACCGTCGGGCTTTGAGCACGTCACATCACCAGAACTTCGTCTAATTAGGGAGTTGGTGAGCCTGGTAAGTGCGGCCAAGGTGTCCGCACGTGGACAGCCGCTGCCGCAGGCTAAGCCGTCAAGTCAGGCGCCGCCGCTGAAGGAGGGATTTTCCTATGCTGCAGTGCCCAGCTCGGATAGCCCGCGAGGACTCCAAACACTAAGCATTCCACGTCATTTGGTCCAGAGGGTCTACAAGCCAAGTCCCGGGGCGGAGAGTACCCCCAACAGTGCAGCTGCTCCGGGAGGAGGCGAGAAAAAGATGTACCGCTTTCTGCAGTCGACGAATGGCAAACCGAATGGTAAAATCAGTGCTTCGCTGGAGGATCTGCGCAAGGACAGCGTGGACAGTGACCGCAGCATGGTGAGCTCCACTAATGTACCGCCAGCTAGTCCCAAGGGTGCCACTGTTGTGGCCGCGGTGAGACCACAGGGATCAACGATGAACAGCCTCTTTGGATCATCGGGCAACGTGACAGCTGTCAGGGCTGGACCGTCGCTAAAGGCGCGTGCCATGGCCCGCCGGTATTCCACATGCAACAATCAGATCACCAACTCCATACCCATCAGCCAGACTCTCGGCTATCCCAGCTCCCTAAATACCAACCTGACACCGATGGAGGCGAATGCACTGAAACGTCGTCTCATGGGAGCTGCCCAGCCGATGGTGCCACCCACACAGCGTCCTCGCTATTCCGGCGGACCTGGGGTCCAACAGATAGTTACGCCGCAGGGCAATAGCTTGCTGGTGAGGAGACCCGCTGGGCCTAGTCCTGGCGCCCAGAAGCAGCAACTCTCGCCCACCGGCGGAGTGGTTTTGACACCCCAGAAAACACCGCAAATAACCAATGTCCAGGGAGCCGCCTTTAAGGATTTTGTGCAGCCCAAACCTACGTCAGCCGCCTCACCGGCTTCCTCGGCATCCTCCACCTCCTCGGCATCGCCGGCAGCCGGTGAAGGAACGCCTCAGTCCATGGCACTTAAGCGCAGCTTGGTGGTGGCCAATGCCAAGAACTCGCTCCTGGTCGAGAAGCCGGTCAATAAACCCCAACAACAACAACAACAGCCCCAGGTCCAGAAGACCAACCCAAGGTATTCCTCGATGACGGCAGCCACCATTGCAGCGGATGACTTCTCGCTGGCCAGTCTCAAGCGAGAGCCGGTGGATCACATGGATGACCACGACGATATCTTGGGCATGTAGGCTGCCATCGAAAATACAAGTTAAACTTCTACGACGAATCTTGATGAGAACAAAAAACCCAGACAAAGAGTTACTAGTTACCCTTCAAATGTAGTCTTAAGATAAATTATTTTTAAGCTCTAAAATATTTTCACAACCACATCGTTTGCTGCGAAAGCTAAGCCTTATTTTTCACGTATTACCAGATAAATAAGTTTCAAATTTGTAAAAACATTTCATTTTACTAAAATGGACAAAAGAAAATATTTTAAAAAATAATACAACAAATATTACTAGTATATTAACCAATTGATGTAATTAGAAATCGAATATATATCAGTTTTATTTTTTTCTTTTCATAAATAAACGTTGTAAAAATAAAGATAAAATGGTTTAATGGTGGTTGGTTTATTAAAAAGGTTACGTGGGTTGAGATTTTACAGAAAAAATGGATTTAAATCTTCATTTGCTGATGCAATTTTGCAAATGAATCATGGATCCAAAGTATATACGTGGATTTAATACCTTGCCACCACGTCATCGATAGACAGTAGATAAGATATATACCCAAACATAGATAGTGTACAACAAATATAATAACTAAAAGATATTGTTATTATTTTATGTTATCAGTAAATATTTACAAAATTAAAAAATATATTGAAAATTTTAAAATAGAAAGAGAAAAGTAATTTTCAAACTAGGATATTGTAGATATATATTTTCTATTCTAAAAAAATGCAAATCAATAAATCCATAATCCACTTATCATTCTCGGACACGTTATTGGGTTCCATTACTTCCCGTTTTGGGTGAACCACCGGCCAAGATTTACAAGGCATCGTCTCACCAATCTCTTGCTCTTTTCGCACGCTATGGGACTGGGAAATCTAATCTGGAGAGGTCTGCCCGATCGGGGCCATAAATAAGGGAGTCAGCGCGCCGATAAGGCCACTATAAAACCTCAACTCAAGTGGCAGCGTGGCTCAGTCGATTTTTAGACGATCAACAATGAAATACTTTGCCATTTGCGCCCTGCTCATCCTTCCGCTGGTCAGCGGAGGGTATGTGCCCCAGCCCAGGCACTTTGTGACCTACGAGATTCAGCCAGCTCACCAGCATTTGCCTCATATGGAAGGTAAGGCCAGATATTTTAGGGGATTGAAACAAAAGAAAACAAAGCCCAGAACAGTGACTAATGACCACGAACAATTCAAAGGAATTTATTATTGAGCTATCAAAGTTAATAGCCACAAAGAAAGTGATTCAACAAATTTGTGTATATTTTTTGCAAGTAAAAAAATAATAATTTATAAACCTGGTTTTATGATGTGAAATAAAATCAGTCAATATTAAAAAATTTTATATTAATTAAGCAACAAATTAAATATTTAATTTTATTCATTTACCTTTTAGAAATTGCCAGAAAGATGCAGGCCATGCTCCAGCATATGAACCCGGACATGTCCGTCCTGGCCGATGCCATCAATGTCCCCGATATGTCCGTCCAGGCCGATGCTGGCATTTTGCCCGATATGTCGGTGGCCACCGATGCCGATAACACTCCCATTAGGCGCGCTGCCTGGCTCAAGGCTGCTCCCATTGCCAAGGCCGTCGCTCCCAAGTTGTTTGTGATCCCTGATATGTCTATGCTGGAGGATGCTGGCCTGATTCCAGACATCTCGGTGGCCACCGATGCTGATGAGACCCCCAAGCGTGGCTCCTTTGCCCTGAAGAAGCCCCTGCTGGCCCAGGTTGCCGGAGGTATCCCCAGCGTTGATGCTGATCTGATCCCTGACATTTCGGTGGCCTCCGATGCGGATGAGGTTTCTGTAGCTAAGCCCCAAGTCAGTGCCGATGCCGACCTGATCCCTGATATCTCTGTGGCCTCCGATGCTGATGAGACCCCCAAGAAGCTCATTCCTGGTCTAAAGACTTTTCCCCAGTTGGCCAAGGTTTCCGGAGCCGAGCCTCAAGTCAGTGCCGATGCCGATCTGATCCCTGATATCTCTGTGGCCTCCGATGCTGATGAGACCCCCAAGATGCTCATTCCTGGCCTGAAGGCTCTGCCTCAGCTGGTCAAGGTTTCTGGAGCTGAGCCTGTGGAGGTTCCAGCCGATGCCGACCTGATTCCTGACATCTCTGTGGCCTCCGATGCTGATGAGACCCCTAAGAAGCTCATTCCTGGTCTGAAGTCTCTGCCCCAGTTGTTCAAGGTTTCTGGAGCTGAGCCCCAAGTCAGTGCCGATGCCGATCTGATCCCCGATATCTCTGTGGCCAGCGATGCTGATTTCGATCCCAAGAAGACCCTGGCGGCCCTTTTGGCCAAGCTTCACTAAACTGACTCGTGAAACTATCAGCAAAGCCTGATTAAATCGGAAACGGTTGTGTGTTTTTTGTATTTTTACGTTATTATATGATTGTCATTAATCAATAATTTTTCGAGGAGAACGAAGAGCAGCTGGTTTTTATTTTGGTTTTCCAGAGTTATCAGCGATGCCTTGAAGTGGTCTGATTGGTTTGATTTAATAGAAATTTCCTATCGCATGAGTGGTTGTCTTTTTGGGGTTCAATAATAATCGCAACTGGGCGAACGTCATCGATGGAATTGGTTTTATTTAAAAAAAAATTGATAGAACTGCAATTATATTTAATTAATTATTTAGGAATAAGTAATATAATGTGATTAACTTGAAAAGTAAGCCAAATATAATCATATTAAAATGCCGTATTGCTATAATATTAAAAAATTAGGACATAATTTTATTGTTTTTTTTATTTATTGTTCATAAATTGGCCTTGTATATGATTAATATCGATGAATATGATCGATATTAATATCGATTACATATTCAGTTACTTTTTGAATTTCATTAAATATAAACATTCATCTTGTTTTAGTCCTTTTTCCGAAAGGTTTTCCTCGTTGCCATCCTGCAGTAAGTAATTTATATATGAAACTGTCTGAACTTGGCCTCTGCCATCTCTCAAGCTGGAGATACAACAAAAAAAGGCCGGTCTTAATCCAAGTCCAGGCTTTGCAGCAACTAGCAAAAATAGCAAATAAAATTAGTTTTTCGCTGCGACTGATGGCTGAGGGAGGCGGGTTTTGGGGCATTGTATCGCTGGCTATTTATAAAAAGGAATTAACGGCACAAACCGGACCTACACACAAAAGTGGCCCGAATGTGATCCCGATGTGGCACATGGCCATAAACAACGCCGGGGCGGGGGTGCAGAGGTCGTGCAGAGAGTGGTGGGTCAGCGATGCCAAAGAAATTAGTAAGAAATATATTTAATTTATGTATTTATATATTTATAATAAATTGTTTAATTTTTAAGAAAAATATTGTGTTTAATATATTTTATTAAATTTAAGAAAACTTTTTTCTAGCTTTTTCGGTGATTAAAAATAAAATTAATCATTAATACAAATTATGAATATTTTTTATATAATTAAAATCGAACCCAAAAATCTTTTAATATATTTTAAAATATTTAAATATATTTTCTTACTAAAATAAGTTAGTTTCCGGCATCTCCGGTTTTTGTGACTGGAGTTTTTGGGACCATGTTGCCGCTGCCGTTGTGATTTTCACACAAAAGCGCTAAAGCGGCTACTAAATTACGTGCTCATGTGTTCTAGTTCGAGTCAACTCCCTCCTCCACAGGGGCGACTCTGCATCGAGAGCAAAATCGCATTTGGAGCCGCTAATGAACCGCAGTGGTCCCGACCAGGAGGCGTCCATCGGCGGTGGCTGGTGGCTCCGGTACTTCCACATATATATATATATGTATATACATATAGTGCTTTTGGGGTTCAGTTTCTGGTTTTTGTTTTCGGTTTTTTTTTTGCTTTTACCTATTGCCGCATATTCAAACTTAACGAGAAAGAAGACTGCTGATAACGACTCAAAAATACCTGGGTTATTAAAAAATAGCAAAGAAATTTTCGGTTGAACACCAAATTCTACTAAGTTTTTCCCCGATTTCAGAAGTTTTTATGTATTAAAAATATGTATTTGATTTTTGATGATACAAATGGAAATTTCTTGTTATTTTTATAAATATCCTAAATATATTTAATATTCTAAGATTTATTATATTTTAATATTAAAATATATATGTTAATCATAGCTGAAGATAAATCCAAAAAATCTACCTTATATTCTGGCTATATTACCACAGAGCTACCCAAATACCTTGTTGAAAAATACCGTTTAAAAGTGTAACAATGCTGTTAACTATTGTGGGCAGGCCGGCGGATTGAATTGCATTGCCTGGGCGGTGAGGGAGGTGGAAATCAGGGGGAGAAACTGCAACAATTGCCGCTTGATTAAGGTGAGTTACGTATGCATCTACGTTTGTGTGCGGGAGTTGAAAGGACGCTGCCGAAAATGTTTAATCAACTTTCAAGTCTCTTCTGACAAAAATAGGTTTATATCTTTAATTTGAACGAAAAAGTTCGCTAGCAACTAAATTATATACTAATATATAATATTTTTATTCAAAAAGCTTTCTTCATAGAGCCGTAAAACTGCTATCAATTACTTTTTTGGCAATTCCATATATTGTGTCAACTTTATCTGTGTCAGAAATGAAAATCGATCTCCCAGGTCCATTATGAAATTCTTTCAGAGTCATTTTCTCAAAGTCAATGCTACTCAGCATAAGAGAAATTTTCTCGAATGCCGGAAAAGATTTTTCATTTTTGTTTTTGGCTTTGCTATTCTCACGCAACGAAAAAACAAACCCCTCATCTTCTAAACAATTTTGATGCATCCACATCTCCAAAAGGCCAAAGCGCTTGGATTCTTCCATTTCACTTGTGTGCTGAAAATATTCCATAAAGCAGTCGATGCCCAGTTTGGCGGATTCCTGAAGGTCCATAGCGTCATCCTTTTTCAAAATCTGTAGGATGAGTTATTTTATTTAAGAGTTTTTTTTTTTTGGTTGGTAATAAAAGGCACTTACCGAAATTATCCAATTCATTAGGGACTCATTATTCACCTGATAGGATACTTCATAAATCTGAATCAATCTTTTTTCGTTTATTCCACTAATAACACAAGTTTCAACAATTATTTCCGGGCAAACATTTTCCACTTCAGCTGCAAGCCACATATTAGCACATTTCATGAGAGATAACAAATGATCCAGTTCTACGCTTTTCAAAAATTCCTTGTCCATGGTGTAAATGTAATTAAGAAATATTTCAAAAACTTCTGGCGTTGTGCCCTCCAAAACCACATTTCCTGTCTCCAATCCATCCTTTTGAAACAATTTCTCAAAGAACTCCGAGGCGCAGGCTAGGATTATCTTGTGACACTTGAAACAGGTGTTCTCCACACGAATGCAAATATCGGAAAATAGGCCTGATTTCAGTAGGTCGGCTCCTTTTTTTGTCCTGCAAAAAATAAAACAGAAAATTAGCTATTATTTGAATTTCGTTAATATATTTTTGGGATTCACCAGGGTGTTGTTTCCATTTTTGAGAGTTCGACAATCTGTTCGCTTCAACTGATATTTTGATACTGGCTAGGAAACTTGTTGGAATCGAAGGTTAAAACACTTTATAAAAAGCTTTATCACTATTATAAAAACTGAGCTCATCGGTTCAGAGGAGTCGTCAGAAATGTTTATATATTTGCAAATGTTTAAAATTGCTATAATTTAGGAAATATTCGGAAAAGGGAAATTGCCTTTGGATAAAAATATTTAAGATATATTTTTAAGGGTATATCTAGAAGGTGCCCCCCTTCTCCGAAATCTGGCTACGCCTTTGGCTTTTTAGAGGAAATACAAAGAACGGTTTATATACAATTTTTATTAAGTTATTAAAACCAACATTTCCGGTTGCTTGATAAGAATATTTGTGGCTACAATCTTTCACAATCAATGCAATTGAGGAAAGGTAGGACGAACACTTAGCTCTAAAGAAATTTATTCTTATGTAAACTTGATACATATTATTTATTACATTATTGTCCACACTGTATTTTAATAGTTACAAACAATTATAATTCCTTTATTAAAAGACATACACATTATCTAAGCAAGAATTCTACATACTTTTTTGTATTCTAATTATTATTATTATAACAACGTAAAGTATTTGATATTACACTGGGGATTATGAAGCTCTGTTCTTGGATCAACAACAATATCTACCCTTTTCTGTTAAAACTTCTACTCATTTACTCAGCGAAGAGGGCAAAGTTTCAGCCATTGCGTTGCGGCTTTGCAGCTGTCGCAGCTGATGTGCTTCCGCCACGCCCCCTCCGCAGAAACACCGCCCCTGTCCTGGCCTTTGGCTGCACTTATTACAAAACTTTAAACTTTCTTCCCGCTTTGCATTTTCATTTATTTCGCCGGCTTTCATTCACTTTCGGCTTTGTTGTTGCTGCTGCCAGAGCATATCACTTCACTCCCGAAGAAATTTCATTTCGCTTCCTTCCGTGCTTTTATCCAGGCACTTGAAATAAAAGTTTATAATATTATTAAAAATAAAAGAAATAGTTATATTTCAGAAAAGAGTCATTTAAAATCTAGCTTGAACCAAAAATATAAGAAATATATTTTTAAAATAATATTGCTAAGCGTTTTCTTTAAGTAGCTTGTATCAATTTTTTCAAAAGAAAATTTGGATTATTTTCTTAAATAAAAAGTAAACTATAAAATAAATGCTATTCTAATAATTTTCTCTATAAATAAATATTTATATATATTTTTTCTAGTGCCTTTCGACTTGCTTTCTACTGCAAACTTTTGGATGGCTTTTGCCTTTTGATTTCAATACTGCATTTTGCATTTGAACTTTGTTCTTCGTTTTTGGAGCAAAACTTTTGCTTTCAGCCGGACACGAGCTTATATATATATTTCTCCTAGAATCAAATATATATATAAAGGGAGAGAGCGAGGCCAAAATCAATATATTATCGAAATTGAGTCAAAGTTTAAGTTCAACAAAAAATATAAAATGAAACTTGCGATTTATTTTAATCAGTTTTTCTTCGATTTTCTGTGGGCAAACTTTTTTAATATTACAAAAAGTTCTTAAGAGTCTGGCGTTTTGTTTAGAGAAAAAAAAGGATCCCCTGGGGAGGAGCATAGAAAGGGGTCAGTTCGTTGGCTAACCTTTTGCTAATGACTTCCTTGTCGTCGCTGTGGCCTCGCCAATAAGATAAGCCCAAAGTGCAATACCAACGGCCAGCGCAACGGGCAACTGGCAACACAAGCCACCAAGAACTAACAACATTGGCAACTTGCAACCAGCAACTAGCAACTTGCAACAACAGCAAACACTTTAAGAATGTTTAGCCAACACGCGATGACAACACAACTTCAAACTTTAAAAAACAGCCGAGGAATCTGACTTTGGGAAACCGAAGTTTGTATACACTTATGTTTTAAATTAATTAAACTAAGTAAAAAATAAGAAAAAAAGGTAACTTTGGCACGCTGCAGTTGTATATCCTTGGGGCTTAATTTTATATTTTATATAATTTTAGGATTGTCAGAGATGAAGCTGGAGGAGCGAGCAGATGGCTGGACAGATCTCAACCGGATGGCAGTAGAGGACGGTGATCGGATCTTGGCTCCGGGCTATATGAAAGCCTGCAGAATGCGTAAATAATTAAAATATTTATAAATACAATTTAAATATGTAAATGTAATTGATGGAACACACAAATATGAATCAATATAAGATGGTGAATTCAATGTGCAATTGTTTGGTGAAGGCGGCATTTATTTGGGATCGTTTGGGGAAAAATCTAAATTTTTAAGTTTTTTTTCTGAATTTTAAACATTTTTTTCGGATGTTTTACAATTTTTGTAAATTAAAAATTGTTTTTTCTAAATATTTAAAACTTTTCTGAATTCTTAAAATTTTGTCTGAATTTTTAAAATTTTTTTCAGATATTTTCTATTTTTTAGAATTTTTTTTTAGAATTTGTTAAATTTTTTTAAATTTTGTAACTGCCAAATTTGAATTTGAATTTAACTGTCAAATTTGAATTTAACGACGATCAGTTTCAGTGTGCCCAGGTGCAGTTGTAAAATAACACCTAAATTTGGATTCAAAAGGTTTGAGTCTCCGCTAACTTGCGCCGGCTCCAGAATGGTTTGAAACTTGGACTTTTTATAACAGTTTATACCAGTTTTCAGTCGCTTGCTGCTGATTTCTGTTCGCCTGGTACCCCAATTTGGAAAACGGGCAATTTGCATGGAAATCTTCGGAAATTTGGATGGGCTGCTGTAGGGATGTTGTTGTAAAAAGGTTGTTGTTGCCATAAGCTGTTGTTGTCGGCAACAAATAGGTATAAATGCATAAAATGAAATATAACAGTTTATACCAATTATTATTTTTGCCCAAAAGTTTTTATAACAGTTTATACCAGTTTTCAGTTGCTTGCTGCTGGTTTCTGTTCGCCTGTTATCCCAGTTTGGGCAACGGCCAAATTGGATGGAAAATTTTGCTCACTTGCATGAGTGATGCTCATCTGCATCAGTGATGCTCATCTGGCTATATTTCAATATTGGGGGGCAATAAAGTCGGGCTTAATGTCAGTGATGCTCATGTGCATCAGTGATGCTCATCTAGCTATTTTTTTGCATTATTGGTAGAAAATTGCATCTCACCAGTTGCCAGTGATGCTCATCTAGCTATTTTGCATTATTGGGACAAAATGGCATCTCTCTAACTGTCAGGTATGCTCATGGGCATCAGTGATGCTCATCTGGCTATTTTGCATTATTGGGACAAAATGGCATCTCTCTAACTGTCAGGGATGCTCATGTGCATCAGTGATGCTCATCTAGCTATTTTTTTTGCATTATTGGTAGAAAATTGCATCTCACTAGCTGCCAGTGATGCTCTTCTAGCTATTTTGCATTATTGGGACAAAATGGCATCTCACTAACTGCCAGTGATGATCATCTAGCTACATTGCATTACTGGGACAAAATGGTATCTCACTAACTGTCAGTGATGCTCATGTGCATCAGTGATGCTCATCTAGCTATTTTTTTGCATTATTGGTAGAAAATTGCATCTCACTAGCTGTCAGTGATGCTCATCTAGCTATTTTGCATTATTAGGAGAAAATGGCATCTCACTAGCTGCCAGTGATGCTCTTCTAGCTATTTTGCATTATTGGGACAAAATGGCATCTCACTAACTGCCAGTGATGATCATCTAGCTACATTGCATTACTGGGACAAAATGGTATCTCACTAACTGTCAGTGATGCTCATGTGCATCAGTGATGCTCATGTGCATCAGTGATGCTCATCTAGCTATTTTTTTTGCATTATTGGTAGAAAATTGCATCTCACTAGCTGTCAGTGATGCTCATCTAGTTATTTTGCATTATTGGGAGAAAATGGCATCTCACTAGCTGCCAGTGATGCTCTTCTAGCTATTTTGCATTATTGGGACAAAATGGCATCTCACTAACTGCCAGTGATGATCATCTAGCTACATTGCATTATTGGGACAAAATGGCATCTCTCTAACTGTCAGGTATGCTCATGGGCATCAGTGATGCTCATCTAGCTATTTTGCATTATTGGGACAAAATGGCATCTCTCTAACTGTCAGGGATGCTCATGGGCATCAGTGATGCTCATCTAGCTATTTTGCATTATTGGGACAAAATGGCATCTCTCTAACTGTCAGGGATGCTCATGTGCATCAGTGATGCTCATCTAGCTATTTTTTTTGCATTATTGGTAGAAAATTGCATCTCACTAGCTGTCAGTGATGCTCTTCTAGCTATTTTGCATTATTGGGACAATCACTAACGGTCAGTGATGCTCATCTAGCTATTTTGCATTAATGGGACAAAATGGCAACTCACTAACTGTCATTGATGCTCATTTATTATTTTTAGGAAATTAAATGACTAAAAATATCATAACTTAGCCAAAACAGCTTCAAATTCATTTCGGAAAGCATTTCTAAGCTAGGTTTTTCTAGGTTAACAAATCTGCATACAGTTTTTAATATTTTAAAAAATCAAAATTTTGGCCAATTTTTAACATTTTTAATGATGTAACCCCTTATAAAATTTAAAAAAAATTAAAAATTTTTTTTTCTTTACAACATGTCTAGAATGACTCGCCTGCTAATGCTGATCAAGAATATATATGGTTTATGGGGTCGGAAATGACTCGTTCACGGCATTATTCGCTTCTGACTGAAATTATAATCAATAAATAAATATTTTTCTGACCCAAAAGTTAATGCTTTATGTATTATTTTTTATGTATATTTAATACCTTTTAATAAGATCATATATACCCTTTGGTAAAGTATAATAATAAGAAGTAGCTCAGCATTTAAAAACTTGAATGCAAGAGCGAGAAAGCAAATAAACACGACTGGGGGCTTCAGCCAACGGCCAACAGATGGCGCGAGCCATGTTATTTGCAGAAATAAAAATTCACTTGGAAATGGAAAGCAAGAAATATCTAATTCGCCGCAGGTGACGGTGAAAATGGAAAAT